GGAAGCTCTCACACCTAATGACAGAGACATCTTTGCACCTCCACAAACCGCTTTTGCTCCCTTGTGCAACTTTCTGAGTGAAGCACGTCACATTCAATTCATACAGTAAATCCCAGAGATGATTTGCTTTTCTTCCTGGACCCAGCGTTCTTGCTGTGGAATCTGGCATGCCGTGGAGGTGTTTTTTTATGGGATGGGGCTCAAGGTCACACACACACATCTCCCAGGATGTGATGGTCCAGAGTTCAATGGACAAATACATGCACCTCTGCTCAACTACCAACTTGCATACTTCTTTGCATGCATGCATGCATGCATGCATGCATGCCTGCTGCCTGCCTGCTTTCTTGTTTTCTGTCTGGCTTGCTTCCTTGCTGGCAAGCTTGAAGTCCTCCTATCTCTCATTTCCCTTGATGGATTCTGGACAGTGTCTCCTGGAGCACAGGCCCATAGGAAGCTCTCTGTGTTGTTGTGGATGAATGTTTTACTTCCGTGCCCCGCCTTCCAAACATAAATGTACTTAGTTTCCAGGTGTGGACTTTCACATGGGTTGCTCAGTGTCCTGCCCAGTGTTCACACCCTTGAAAGGGGTTGCTCAGAAAATGTTGGGTATATGACCCGTCTCCGTTTAAATCACTCATTCCTATTGGAAGCCATTTGTGCTTTCCCTGTGCCTTGGACACCTATTGAGGTAGCTTGTGTCATAGAGAGTTAAGTGACTGCAGTGTCACTCCACCCTGTTTCTACTCTTCCATTTCAAGGCTGAATCCTTCTGTTGCTGCAATGAGAGCTGGGAACTGGGAAGGGAACACAACTCCATGAACAGTCTTCTCTGGTTGGTTTGAGTTGTGGTTTGATATGAGGGCAGGAATGGGGCCTCAGGGTTAGGCCGAAGGTACCTGCTTTTCTTGAGGCCTTGTGTGCCTGGAGCTCTGGCTGTTTTCCCCATCCTGGAAGGTTCCCAGCCACTGTTGTCTATCCTAAAGTCAGCTACCCGGTCCTAGCTTGGCTCTCAATGGTCAGCGGTAGAGGTGTCACTGTCATCCTGGCTCCAAAGCCCCTTCCTCTTCCAGCTGGGAACTTTGCCTGTCTCACCTTCTGAATTGTGTAGCTCTGCGACTGCCTTCACGCTACTCTTGTTCAGGGTTGAGATGCCAAAGCACAGAGAATGCGGGTTCAATACTGAGTGGATCTTCCTGAGACCAGAACACCCAAGAATCAGTGGAATGATGCTGAGAGCCAGGAAGCATGGCAGATGCCTGGAGAGTAGGTGTGAGGGTGGGGACTGCAAAATGCAGGCCTACAGGTCCAGGCAGGCGGGTCCTTGAGAACAAGATCCAGGCAGGTGACCTCCTGGTCCCAGGAAAAGCCTCTAAGGGCCAGATCTCCGATGACATAGCAGTTGGACATATGAGCTCTGCCAGCGTCCTAGAATCAGCATGGTGGTAGGTTGGGAAGCGCTATTTTCCTGTTGAGGTTAGTCTGAGGGCCGTGGTGATTTGGGTGTAGGAAGAGGGCAAACTGGACACTGTCTGCTCTTGAATGTCCTGTCCTCTCCCTGGAGCATCCTGAGTGTTTTGTGCCTTCTGGGCATGCCTGCCTCTGTTTGTTTGCATGCCAGTGACTGAGGTGCCATGTTCATCCCTGTCACTTCTGCAAAGTCTGGTACTGATCTCGGAGGTCTTGGAGAGCCCTGTCTTCCCGGTGGGTCCTTGTCTCCCAACCACTACAACATCGGATTCAATGAAAATGAAAAAAGACAATGTCTTCCCATAACCTTTCCAGCTGGTTGACACTGAAGATGGTCAAAATGGGGTCCTCTGGAGTCGCTATCAGTCTGGCAGCACCTTGGTGAGAATTTTAGCCAGAGGCTGCAGCAGGCTGGAATTGCACCTCTTTCAGCTAGGTGCTAGGGACCCATTTTTCCCAGGTGTCTCTGCGAATGTGCACAGCCAAAACCCACATTTGAAAAATAAAGAACAGCCTTCCAGCTCAGCTTTTGCCCTTTGCCCTTTGTCGTCTAGCTACCTATATATTTTTGTGGCGTATTTTTGACTGTAATCCATAATTTGATTTGCTGTGACTAACAGCCAGCTCCCCATCTCAGACATTTTCTTTCCTGTTCCTCAGTGTGTTCTGTCATTCAATTGGTTTTCTACTCTTGTCTGCTATTTTCAGGCATTCTTCATTAAGCTGTGTGTTTATACTTATTTAGTTCCTACTTTTTCACTGTTAACCTCAGTTCATGGTTACTTTGTTTCCAGGAACTACTTCATAAATTTTTAAAGATTTTTTCATTTATTAAGTACACAGTGTCCTTCCTGCATGTATGCCTATGCTATAGAAAGGAACACATGTGTTGATCCTGATGGTTGTGATCCCCCATGTATTTCCTGGAACTGAACTAGGATCTTTTTGGAAAAGCATGTAGTGATCTTAACCACTGACCTATCTCTCCAGCCCCTACTTTCCTTTTCTTTGCTCCTTTTTTGTCTCATTTATAGGTGGCAGATAAAATGCTGAGTTTTCATTATTTTTCCTTTGGAAATAGGATTTACTCTTTAGTAAGGAATCAATATATGGTCCTTCCTCTTAAGAGTCCCTAGCAGTTCTCTAAAGGCACTGTGAGCCATGAATTGTGTCCCTAGTCAGTGATCTCTGCAATTGACATGTGGCAACAATGTGTTTTCGTTGAGCTGGGATAGTCCTGCATTATAGAACTAATATATATCAAGTGTACTTCTGTCTCTAAGAAATTCCCTTCCTACATGCCAGATATCCCAGGCCAGAATATTTCATCACTCTTATTATCCTGTCATAATTTTATCATGGTTTTCCTGTAGTATGGGTTTTTTAAAAATTGTTTTTGTGTTTTGTCTAAAACTGTCTTTTGAGACAATTTCTTTTTGTAGTATTGTGTGTCCTGTAAGTTGCTTTGTAGCACAGGGTGACCTGAAACTCATAGGCTACCCTAGCTTCCCCAATGCAGAGATTAAAGACATAAGTCACCCGGTCTGCCTGATAGTAGGCTCTTAAAAAGTGGTTTCATAGTCACTGCAGCTGCTGACCGCAGTAGGTTTGGGGTATTTTCAATAGTAATTGGTTTTCCAGGATTGTAGGCTTTCCCTATGCCAATCAGATACTTTTGTGAGGTGTGGTTGTGCAAGTTTGTAATCCTAACATCGGGGAGGGGAAGTGAATCACAGGCAGGTGGACTTCTGTTTGTTCGAGTCTAGACTGATGTGTGTAAACAAGTCCAGGACAGCCCTGGCTATGTAATTTGACTTTTCTTTATATTTAAATTAATAGCAAAAATAAACTCAAATCTGTTTCTACAACTGCACTGTAGAAGTCCCCTGGGAATTTGATAATAATGACAGTGTTTTTGTTGTCCTCTGGAGTCACTAGCATGAAAGTGTAATCTTCCATAAAAGCCCAAGGTTTGCAGGTTTTAGCTTTCAGGTGTTACGCCACCCCTTAACGCGGTCCTAGAGACCATTCTTTATTATTCATGTACGCATGCGCTCCGGCTTCCGGGTTTGTGTGGGCCGCGCTACTACGTCATCGGGCTGCGCGGCGCGGCTGGCTCTGTGGTTGCCGGAAGTTGAGCGGCGGTAAGTAAGTGGTGGTTGCGGAGCAGGCGCGGGGCTGGCGGGGTTCACTTAGGAAAGTTAAGGCTAGTTTTGGGCTGTTCTGGAATTTTCTTCATTTGTCTATACACGTCCCCCTCCTTCTACGGCAGTAAGTGTTCTCATCCCCGCGTCGGCAGACACCTCGGGTCGCTCTTTCTGTCAAGTCCTGCCTTTGCGATGTGTGTGGATGGTCCCATAAGTGAAGTTGTGCCTCTGGTCTGTGAACGACTTTGGTCTTGTTATTTATCTGATGAGGAGGACATGGTTCTTCCTTTAAGGCTTCTCTAAGAAAGGTTCTGCATTCCCTTAAAGGGTCCATAGGTTACAAAGTAATACAGGAATCAACCTGATAAGGCAAATGCACGTGTCAGGAAGTTTCTGAGCCGGGTAAGGTGGCATAGAGAGGTGATCCCAGCCGCAGGGAAGCTGAGCCAAGTGAATTGTTATTTAGGACCAGCCTGGGCAATCTGACACAGACCTTTTCGCAAACTGGAAATGGGGCCTGGGGTGTAATTCAGTGCCAAAGCATTTCCTCAGCTTTCCAGAACTCCAGGTTCAACGTCTTACCAGCACATTCCAAATTGAGAACGAATTCTACATGTGTTACCGTGTGCAATCTTATTTTAATTCTTTTAAAATATTCATAATTGCGAGTGTATGTATATTCGTGTGCTGGCATGAATGTAGGTATCAGTAGAAGCCTCCAGAGATAAGACATAATAGATCCTGACAGCACTGGAGCTACAGGAATGGATGCTGGAAACCAGGCCCAAGTCCTGCAAGAGCTGTACTGCTGAGTCGAGACATCTTTCCTCTGCAAATTAATTTTTTTAAAAAAGACTGAATGCCGTGTATCCCATGCTGGCTTTGAACATTCAGTGTAGCAGCGTCTGGCCTTTGAGTTTTTTATACATCTGCTTCCACCTCCTTGGGTGCTGGGATTACATGTGTCTACCACTATTGCCTCGTTTATCTGGTGCTGGATTGCACCTTGGGCTTCATACATGCTGGGCAGTGCTATATCAACTCAGAGTTACACTCCCATTCCAATCATCTGATTCTTTTTTTTTTTTTTTTTTTTTTTCTCCTTGAGTCAGCCCTGGCTGTCCTGGAACTCATTTCGTAGACCAGGCTGGCCTTGAACTCTTAGAGATCCACCTGCCTCTGCCTCCCTAGCACTGGGATTAAAGGTGTGCACTGCCAAGGCCTGGCCAATCACCTTATTCTTATAGCCTGTCCAAATGCACTTTCCTTCTCAAATGTACTAATTTGGTGGATTTTTGTTGTTGTTTTGACTTTTGTCCTTTTAATTTTCTTTTTAACCTGTAAACAGACATGTGTGTAGCTGTAGACTTGACAGCTCTGTCTCAGGCTTCTCCTTTCCCATAGATTGTATGTTTTTTTTGTCTTAGGACACCTCAGTCCACTGTCCTTAGTTTGTGAATGCTCGTGACTTCCTGTTGCTACCAGCTTTCCTTTCCCAGTTCTTACTCAAAAAGTCATGTGAGGAGCTTAGGACTGTGGCCAGCAGTCACAGCTCATTGCCCTGTTGGAGTCACACTTGCTCTCAGTTGACCCATATAGGTTTGAAAACTGCTAGATTGCCTCCCTCTTTCTCTGTAGCTGATTGCATTTAGTTATTTACCCATAGCGAGCGCTACTAATACACAAGGATTTTCATATCACTTATTAGCAAATCCCATCATAATCTTTCTAGGTGTCTGGCATACTGTGTATGCTTAAGAAATATGCACGAATGCACTTAACAAAAGGCACATTTGAATGCCCAGGCTTTACTGCTAAGCTCTAAAGATGAAACGGGATCCCATAACTCCCCTTAGGGGTTATGGTGGTGGCGATTGTCAGTAAATTGTTCACTTTAATGAGGTGGTAGTGTCTGCCTTAATCTCAGTCCTGGGGAAGCTAAGGCAGAGATGGATCAAGAGTTCAAGGTGCTAGGTGTGGTGGGTCATGGGCTTTTATTTTGAAAGTGTTAAAGTGGGAAGCAGGGCAGTGAGAACATTAAACAAGGAGGGCATGTGTTGTCATCTCTAAGTCACTGAGGCAGCAACTGGGTACCTGTCAGAGTTTTGTGGCAGTGATCCAGGTGACAAAAACAGCAGCCTCAGCTTATGTGCAATGTGGCAACAACAGCAACAACAGAGCTCTTTGCTTATGGTCTCCGATTATGCTTGCCTTCTCTGAGGTTAGACTTAGTGTCACAGTTGGTCTCAGTCTTCCCCCTTCCCCAGGGAAATGAATTTCATGGATGCTTCCTGTTCCTCCTGGGTTTTTTTTGTTTGTTTGTTTTTTGTTTTTTGTTTTTTTTCTCTCCCTCTCCCAATGTCTGAAGATTAACTTGTGTAGTTCTAGCCAAGTTAAGAGGCAATTGGAATTTTCATGTTTGTTGCAGACTACACAAGTCCTAGTCACCGACTCTTGGTCCAAATCCAGAATTTAGGGTACTCCCTACCTTCTTTGCCCAGGCCACCCTGCACCACCCTGCACCACCCCACACCACCCCTCTTTGAACTGGCTTCTTCATGTCAGGCTGGACATATGTGGAAAGGAAGTCTTTTCAGGGAATCTAGCTGTGGGGGAGGGGTGCAGATTCCTTGGCATTTCCTAAAACCCGGTTAGTGACCTGGTAAGCACCAGCAAGTTCTTACTCTAGCGTAGGCTGGCCTCAAACTCATCATTCTCTTCCTTCACTGTCCTCAGGGCTGGGATTGCAGATGTGTGCTGAAGTCCCCTGTCTACCCTTCTCCCTTTGGCCTGCTATAGTGTGTGTGTGAGCCAGTGCACGCTCGAGAGCATGCATGAAGCCCAGAAGCAGACAATGGGTGTCCTGCCTGCCTTTACTTATTCATTTGCAAAAGGGTCTCTCACTGAATGTGGAGCTAGGTTGTCAGCCAGCAAATTCCAATGCCTCCACAGCATTCAGGTTACAGGCACACATGGCTTTTCCTGGCTTTTTACATGGTATGTGGGGTTTGAACTCAGGTTCATGCCTGCTCACTAAATGCTGTTACAACTGAGCCACCCCCTCAGTCCCAGTGTCTCTTCCTGATCCAGTACTTGGTACTGCTGCTTCCACCTGCCCCAACTAGAAGTATATCTGGCTGTTTTTATTTTGCTTTGCTTTGTAACCACAGGATATCATTTTTCTTTTTTCTTTTAATTGAGAGGGAAACAGCCAATTTCACATTTTGTTGTGTGAGGCGCAAAACAAAACAAAAATCATCCCACCCAGCCTGTCCCTAGGTCCTTGTTGAGAGTGCTCTTCTGGTTTGTAAAGCCTTAGCTGAAGGGTGTTCTTGGGAAACAATCTAGCCTAGTGATTGAAATTTAGACATCTCCCCTCTCCCGACCTGTGCAGACCTTTGCCACATGCTACATACTCTGCTTGTTTCCCTTTCAAGTTGTCATGCTGCTGTTCCCAGCATGCATTGCCTAACACAGTTAGTTCTGAAGGTGGGCCTATTGCTATCAAACCCTGAAATATTGCCTGCATTGTGGGTGGGGCAAGAGAACGGGTAAATGTTTGCTGAAAAACAGGAAACCTGTGCGTCTTCAACACATTTTTATGATGTTAGCTCATCACTCCCATGGTTGTGGACTGAACTCAAAGCCCTGTACTTGCTCAGCAAGGCCTCTGTAGCCAAATTAAGTCCCTAGCTCCTTTGCTATATGTTTTATGGCCCTCTCACACAGCTACTATGTGCATTTTCTGGCTGAATAATACTGCAGTCAGTAGCATCTCATGTGCAGATGTAGAAAAGTCTCAAAAGTTGAAAGAAAGACTTGGGTAGGAAGTGGCAGACATGAGATTTGAACTCTAGTCTTTGGCTTGTGAAACTGTATTCTCCTCTCTCTCATTCACCCACGGTGTACCAGACTGCACTGTGTTCTTGCCTCTATGTTTTAGGTCTTCTTAGAAAAAGATTCCTCCCTGGTTCCATAGACTGAACCAAGTGCCTCACTCAGGTTGAGCAGGTGCCCAACTACTGAATTACATCGCCAGCCCTGAAACTTTTAAAAATTATATATTTTTATTATTTAAAACAATTTTAAAATTGGAATATATTTTGATCATAGTCTCCCCCTTCCCCAGAGTCCTTCCAGATCCTCTTCCCATCCCTACTCATCCAACTTTAAGTTCTTTTTTAAAACAAAAATACAAAAACAAAGCCCCAAAACAAAAAACACAAAATGAAACATCCAAATAAAACAAACAAAGCCAACCAAACTGTAACCAAATGAAAGTACACAAAAAACTGTGAAGTCAACTTCTCCTAAATATGAGGCCTCCTCTGGAGTGGTTGATATACCCAGTATCACTGCATTGGAGAAGGCTGATTTTCCCTTTCCCAGAAAGTATAAATGACAGGGAAGTTGTTAACCTTTACCCTAGTGGCTGGGTTTAAATGCATGTATTCATTCATTTTAAAAAATAAAATATAAGATAAAAATTATCACATGGAAGTTGGAACCAACAGAAGGAAAAGAGCCCAAGAGAAGGTGCAAGAATCAAGACTCACCAGTTCGCATGCTCAGGAATTCCATAACAACACTAAAATGGAAGCCATAATAATATGCTAAGGATGTGGTGCAGACCTGTGCAGGCTGCTTCAGTCTCTGAGTTCATGTGAGTTTTGCTCATGTTGAATTAGAAGATGTGTTAGTCAGGGTTTCAATTGCTGTGAAGAGCCATCATGACCAAGGCAACTCTGTGTGTGTGTGTGGGGGGGGGGTTGTTTCAAGACAGGGCTTCTCTGTGTAAAAGCCCTGGCTGTCCTATAACTATTTGTAGACCAGGATGGCCTCAAACTTACAGAGATCCCTTCCCAAATATTGGGATTAAAGGCATGTGCTACCATGTCTGGCAACCACAGCAATTCTTATAAAAGAAAATATTCATTTGGATGGCTTACAGTTCAGTGGTTCAGTCCATTATCATCGTGGTGGGACATGGCAACGTG